ATATATATATATAACAGAGAGAGAGAGTAAGATATACATATATATATATACACGTATGTAGTATACATACGTCTATGAACCTACACGTACAGTAATACACATCCTGATGCCCCTAAAAGGGATAAAGTGTACATGTTCAACTACCCAGAAAGCGGCTCGAGTTAGCGGGCTGGTCCATCTCAAGATCTTCTGCCACGATGGCTGATGGCTTAGTGCAGCTGCTTGAGATCCAGGAGAGCTGCGAACCTGGGTCTCTCAGCATGCCAACGATAACACTAATGATGTAATAAGAAAGCAGGAATGGTTAGCACAGCTAAGTACATAGCACTACATAATACTGCTAGCAACTGCTAGTACTAGCCAGGCCACACACAAACAAAAGTGAGAGTAGCGAAAGTTATCTAAGTAGCAACCGGAAGAGGAAAGGGAAGATGCTCTCTTCTCAATTCAGGTTTGAAGTTTGAACATACAATAATACTTCTGAGGCATAAAGCTCTCAAGGGGAAAATTACTACCACCGGAAGACGGAGGGGCAGCTTCCTTTAAACACCAAGGTCTCGCCGTAAGGGACGTCAGGGGGCAGTCCTGGACAAGCTGTTCGCCGGAGCTGCACCCGCTCTCCGCGCACGAAAACCCGGCAGGAAAGCTTCGGCGTGCCGGACGCCGGAAGCTGTTGAACAGGAGGCTTCTCAGTGTGGTTGGGCCTTTGAACGGGGATCGCGTTGAAAGACGGTAGCCGGCTCCCGTAAGTGTAGCATGCAAAAAGTCCCATGGCATTCACAAGGAAGAAGCCCATGAAGGTCATTGACTTCCTTGGGGCACGACATGACATCACCGACAGAAAACACGCCAATTGCCAGCACAACTCGCGATCTCGACGACACCCAGGCCATGGCGAAAGTGGAGCAATCGCTTGGCTGATGCTCTTGCTCCTGTGCTGGGAGTTTCGGCTATGTAAGACTAGCCCAGTCGCGGACCTGATCGACTGTGAAACCCAAAACCCTAAAACCTGAACTCTTTCAGCACGGACTGAGGGGCCGACCCTAAACCCAAGCCCTAAACCCTTGGGTGAGTCAGACTGTTCACTGCAAGTGAAAGCTGGGGCAAGACGGCTTAGGTTACACGCAACGGCTAAATCCCGAACACGTGCAGCAGAGTCGTAGTCTATGCTGCAGCCGAAGAATGCGGCGACTAGACCCGAAAAAACGGACAAAAAAGCTTTACGCTAGACCGCACACCCCCGAAGCAGAACCCGAAGGTTCTGTAACCTCATTATTGTCTCGATTTGAGATGCCACAATTCCCAGACAGAAGCCAAGGCTTGGCACACCGGAAGGGCTGGAAGTCTGGCGCAATTAGGGTTTCGGTACTCCTGTGAGGATTCTCTTGAGGGCTTTGCAGAGCGTAAGCTAGAGATTCAAGGTGTCGGGGTCAGGGTGGCAGGACTTCGTGTCCGAAGATACAGCCCCTTTGTGTTTGAACCCAGGCTCTTTATGCCAGATACAGCCCCTGAACCCTAAACCCTAGGATGTTAACCCTTTTGAAACCGGACTTGATGACTGCCAGCATTGCCTTAGGATGTAAACCCTAAACCCCTCAACCCCAAACCCCTAAACCCTAAACCCTAAATCCTAAACCCTCATGGCAGGAACTGAAGTAGCTTAGGTGGGCTTTTTCCCGCCAGGATCCTGCGACGCTGGGGAAAGGCCAAGTTACACTTTACAGGGTTTAGGGTTGCGGGTGGTGTTGCATTGCGAGCACATCAATCATCCCCTGCTTAAGCAGTAACATGGTGGAATCTTTCATTCCCCGAAGGCAATGTTAGACGAATTGCTTGTTCTTAAGAATCGCTGCATCCAGGCTTCGCGGCAGACACCTTCGACATCGAAGACGCCACGCTTGTGCAAGCGCACGACCCAAGGTATCTGCTCCTTGATGGGCCACCCAAGTAACACAGGGGCCTTGCTAACTAGACTCGGGTTTTGGGGCATATTGCAGTAGATTAAAGTGTATTAGGGTTTGGGATTTAGGGTTTTACTTAGTATAATCACAAGAAGGACTCAGCATTAGGCGGAAGGTCTCAGATCTTGGGGCTCAAGGTGAGAGATGTACCCAGAGAGCCCAGCACCCTCCAGCCAAGGAATATGCACCAATGCACCAAATTGTCGTGGCCTTGAAAATATAGGGTGTAAGGTACATGCCTTAAACTAAGTACGGGCGTTAGTATTCGGGTGTAAGGTACATTTCCTTAATGACGGGGTGCTGGGCTCTGGGTGGCGCTTGCTGAGGTCTCTGGGTCACACGGAATCCTGAGGCGTAGAGTGCACAGTGCTTCGTACTCAGGCACGCCTAAATCACACACAGAACACTTTCATGCACCTTAGAGCACTGTCCTGTACTATCCGTCTACTCTAGCCCACACTTCCCCACTTGACAAGCCCTGTTTCATCTGAAATGCTCATCATCCCAAGGCTTGGACGTAAAATCAACCCTCTCCGAACCCTACATGAACAAAACCCTAAACCCTAAACCCTATAAACCCAACAACCTAAACTCCTAAACCCAATGCCCCACAACCCTAAACCCCCAAACCTTCAACCCTAAACTCCTGAATCCTATATCCCAAACCGCTGAACCCCTGAACCCTAAACCTTAAAGCCTGCACCTTAAACCCTAAACCCAGAAACCCCAAGTCCGAAAAGCAACCGCCGGCATAGCGAGCCGGTGTCCTCCGGGCCATCGAAGTTCTCGTATCGCTCTAAGGCCCTGAGCTCAGGGTTTCTCTATATAATGCCCAGAGAGCCCAGTACCCCTTAATTAAGGAATATACCTGACATTGTAGAAGCCTTTTTTAAGGGGTATTGGGCTCTCTGCGTATACAACTACATGCTAGAATATACCATGATATACTAAAACATACTAGAACATACTATCATATACTGTAGTAGATACTACAAGATACTAGATTATGCTATAACAAAGGATAGTATGCTATAGGGGTTCGAGCAGTTCGGGGGATCATGGCTGTTCGGGCTTAAAGTTGAAGGAATTCGAGGATCAGGAAAGTGCCGCAGGTTTGTGCAGGGTTTAGGGTTTAGGGTTTAGGGTTTAGGGTTTCGACTCACACACTCGCAAAAGCTGGCATGGCGATAAGTGTCCGACATTGCTACGTGGACATGCTGAGCAACATGACAGAGGAACCAATTCAC